AAATAAATAAATAAATAAATAAATAAATTCTAGGTGGTTCACAACTTGGCTTAAAAATAATGCTAACCTATCAGGGTTCCCATCAAATGAGGTGCTTATAGGAGGTGGACCCCAAACCATTCTTTGGGGCCAATATCCAGATGTGCCTGATGGACCCCAGGATGGAACTGCTTGTCTGCTGCCCATCTGCACATCCCTAAATTTAGCCCCGGAACCTACCGGCTTAGAGGTTTTACTCCGAGTTCCTGATACTCCTACTACCTCTGCTAATGACTCTGAATACCTCTGCTATTTCTGTAGAAAATGCTCCCTCCGACCACCTACTCATATCCCTGCTATCTCTGGCACTAGAACTAAAGAAAGATGTGTCTTCCATCCTAAGTCCCCTCCCTGGACTGTCCCAAACGTTCCAGAGAGTAGACTCACGAATACTTAGTTCACCATACTTGACACGGAGCAATTCCAACGTACTAGCATTTAAACTGGTGGTAGAAGTACTCCACTCGTCCTCATCAGCAATCCATCATTCCCTCCATTTTTCAAACGTCCTGGAGGGCAGCAGCATAAAAGTGGGAGGCTTCCCTTGTGAAACCTTCACTGTCATATCGTCCCTCAACTCCAATCCCAACTTCTGTTCCTTCCGGATTTTCAGCTGTACCATGGGCTGAGAATCTTCTTCACATCTCGCGTTGTCTGTTTGTCCACTTTCCTCAGACACAACATTATCAGCCAATTGGATTGAGGGCTGATCAGGCAATACACCAGCCCCGCCAATGGCAGTGTCTGCCTCCACCTCCAAAACATCTTCCAAACCACCTTCAGCCATAATATCACAGATGACGAGATAATATAGGACGTGAGATCTGACTTTCCTCTCAACTACTCTTTGGGCCAAATGCGGGGAGAAAATAACACAAAGTTCGCTTCAATATTTGGTAAAACAAAAATTTCATTTTTATTCCTTCCTCTGCAAGGACTCCAAGACAATAGCTAAGCAAATAATATAAAGTCAGATCTAACCTGAGTTTCCCGGAACTCAGTATTTATAATGATTTTCCCTCATTACTCTCTATTACCCATGATTGCCTTTATTACCCTTGATTACCATAATTATTTATGATTACTCATCGTAATTCAATCACATTTATTGTGGTTAATGCACATATCTTAACCAAACAGCATTTTCAATATACCGTGCTATTATTATTATATAAAGTTTATTCCGATGAAGGAGATTGCCATTCCTCAGATCGACTGGGTTTTGTTTCAAACGCATGTGTTGCGTAGTTGCGACAATAAGTCTAAGTGCTATTGCTATTGCTACCCAGATCCAAATAAATTTTTTCTAATGTTCTATGGGCTTTCCATTTTTAAGTAGGAATTCTTTCTCCTTTTCCTTTGAATTACTTACTTCTGTGAACTACACAACCCAGGGTTTGGTGAATTGTGGTAAAGAGATTTTATAAGTTTTATTTTCTAAGATGTTATGTTTTGTAATGAAAAGAAAATAAATATTTATGAATATTGTGTAGCCAACCAAGTGGAGTTTGCATGCATATAGGACTTTGACATTGCCCCTAAAATACATGATTATAAACAGAAATTTAGTAATTATTTATTATAGTGATCAGGACTACTTTTCAGGTGCAGTGCTTGGAAACTAAGCAATACTGTTTCATTGTAAAGCAAATGTTTCTAATTCTCTAGAACAGCTACCTAGAAAAAGTGCTTTAGGCAACTTTATTCATTATGTAAGTGCAATATTAAAATATAATTGTGTTTCTGAGGTATGTGGAGAGCTGTGTATGGAATAGATTCAAATTTTCATCATGTCTTGTTACTAGCTAATTTGCTGATACAGTCTAAATTAGATTTTGTAGATTTGACAAAACTGCCTTCTCATTTTCAGTTTATGTGCACTGCAATGAAATGTATTTATCTTGTTATTCCAGAAACGGAAGCTTTCCAAGGTAGAAAACGACTAAGGTTAATAGTTTCCCTGTGTATTTTGCTTTTCATAGCAAAATATTATAAAAGCTACCTGGAACATTCATAAATTGCATTCTATCAACATTCAATGCATTCTGGAAAGTTGATCTAAACAGATTAATCTAGTGTTCATATTCTCTTTCTTTTCGGATATAGTATCTGGGGGGATAAATATATGTTTATGTTGTGGAATTTCATATGGCAATTCATTTTCTCTCAGCAAGTTCCATATCATTTGAGCAGACCTCAATGTGCATGCATACACTACATGCATATACTGTATGTTTGTCCACATAATTTATCATGCAGCTTCCTGAGCTTAAATAATTATAGTAGTTTCTTAATTTCTTCCCTGAAAATGCATAGGGATCTGGAAGTAAAAGTTCAGCACATCTAAAGGGCAGCAAGCTGTGGATAGCTTTGCTTATTTCTCAATAAAATAAGATGGCTGTATATGCAGATACAGGTGAAGACACCTGGGATCAGCTTCTGAAGCAGCTGCATGAGTCTTAGAAAAGCTGTAGCTACAGTATTGATAGTTATAAAGCAGGGGTTCAAACTTGATTTCATTGAGGGCTGCATTAGAGTTGTGCTTAACTTTAGGGGGCTGGGGCCATAGCCAGGGTGGGCGTGGCCAGCTCGATGTCACTCATCGAGGCTCCATTTTCACTGGCAGAGGCTACAGGAGTCTGTCACAGCCGAAAATGGAGCTGGGAGGGCTGCATGTGCCCCTCCTGAGCTCTGTTTTTGCTGGTAGAAGTACTGCAGGCCAGTCCTTCACTGTTTCCAGGGTGGCTCTGTGGGCCAGATCTAAACACCCTGCAGGCCAGATCCAGCTTGCGGGCTTTGAGTTTGACACCCCTGTTATAAAGCGTCTGCGCATTGTGAAGCAACATGTTTAAATGATTTGCACACTCATAGTTTTTTATATAGTTACATTATACTACTTATGAGTTATATACTGCTTCATAGTGTTTTACAGCCCTCTCTAAGTGGATTTACAGAGTAAGCAGATTGCCCCCAACAGCCTGGGTCTTCATTTTACCAAACTTGGAAGGATGGTAAGCTAAGTCAACCTTGAACTGGTCACAATTGAACTCCTAGGAGTGGGCAGAGTTAGTTTGCAATCCTGCATTCTAACTATTGTGTCATATATAGTGATATAGTGAGCCACGATGGCACAGTGATTAGAATGCAGTACTGGAGGCTACTTCTGCTGCCTGCCGGCTGCCTGCAATTTGGCAGTTCGAATCTCATGAGACTCAAGTTTGACTCAGCCTTCCATCCTTCTGAAGGTTGGTAAAATGAGGACCCCAATTGCTGGGGCCAATATGCTGACTCTCTAAACTGTTTAGTGAGGGCTGTAAAGCACCATGAAGCACTATATAAGTCTAAGTGCTATTGCTATTTTATGAACTGTAAACATTTTTAAAATTGTACACACACACACACACACACACACACACACACACACACTGTGTATGATCCCAATTACCATCATTAAGCAAGGACTACCTCATTTTTGTTAATTGCAATAGAAAATTATAGCCTAAATTGTGAAATGGCAGTGTAATGTATTAAAATTTATCTTGATTTCACAGTTTGGTCCAGATGCATTAGCAATATTCCTAGTATGTAGCATATTATTAGTATTAGTATGTGTTTTGGTTGAGTCTAATAATCAAAAATTACTAAACTTGATATTAGTTATTTACAAAAATTCTGAAGGATTATCCTATATTGTTAAGTCTATTTTATCTTAAAGATTATTTAAAAGAACAATCATTTAATTCAACATTTTTTCATACTTATTAGAGTAATGTTTTAGAGTTGTCTAACAATTGATTTTGGAAAGTGTAAAATTGTTGAGGAGCCATCTACTGTTATAAAACTGGCTTGTCTCCTTATTGCTTCCTTTCTTTTAAAATTCTTATATTTGTTAATATGGGTTTTATAAACCAATATTTCAAATATGTCAATATATGGTACTCTAAGATAGTGGTCGCCAATCAGTGGGCCGGGACCACTGGTGGTCCATGAGAAAATTTTGGTGGTCCGCAGAGAAATGTCCCCCCAAAGCAATTAATCCAGGCTGGGCAGGAACACAAGGCTGCACTGCCCACATGGCCCATGGGAACACAAGGCTTTCATCACTTGCATTGTGAACAACATGAGGTAGTGAGGGAAGGGGGGAAAGGGCGGAGGGGGAACTTGCCCCATTCGCCCCTCGTCCCTGGCCTGGTCACCGGGCTGCTTCTTTCCGCTTCTTTCTTTCTTCTTCTGCTTTTGGCTGCATGCAAGGAAAGCAACTAAAGGCTTTCTTTCTCTCCCCAAAACTCCTCCAGAAATGAATCATTGGGACCCTGCAAGCCTCCTGCTCCAAGACGCTGTGCCGGAAAAGACTCATTTCTGGCAGAGTTTGGGGAGAGTAAGAAAGATTTCTGCTGCTTCTGCTGTTTTCCTTGCATGAAGCCAAAAGTCTCTCTCTCTCTCCCCCTGAGAACGGAGCTGGAAATGGTATCCTGTGATCCCAAATAAAGAATGATTGATTGGTAGGAAAACAGGGTGGGGAATTTTCCTGCAAACTTTTTTGGAGATTTTCCCCAGGGTCTCTGCTGCTTTCTGCAGAGACCTTTGGAAAACGTCAAGCCACTATCAGTCAAAATTTATATTAGTGGTCCGCGGGATTTAAAATGATGTGTTTTGTAGTCCCTGAGGTCCAAAAGGTTGGCGACCCCTGCTCTAAGAAATTGATTTTTTGAGCATGGAGATATATATGGAAATGACTGTGCAACTTTTCATTAATTCTGGGATCAGAAGTATGTGGTTTGGTATTTGTTTATATCCTGGTTCTTTACTGATGTAATAGAAGTCCAATCAGGGGTGGGATTCTACAGGTTCGCATCTATTCACTAGAACCGGTTGTTAACATTCTAAGCAGTTCAGAGAACTGGTTGATAGAAGAAATTACTGGGCTAATCCTGTAAGGAAGGCAGGAAGGAAACATTCTGGTGTTGCTTACAGAAACTGCCTCTCCGTTAACCCTTATTACATTCTTGGCAGGACTAGACTTCCTGTCTCAGGAACTTATCTGGAATTTTTTCCCCTTCCTTTCCTGGTACTTTGCTTGTGTGGAGTGACCATTCAAAGTTACAATGGCACTGAAAAAAGTGACATGACCATTTTTCACACTTATGACTATTGCAGCATCCCCACAGTCATGAGAGGCTAGGCGAGGAGATGCATGCCTTGATGTGAGTGATGTTGAATTGGCCACACACAGCCAGTTACATTACCACCAAGCCACGCCCACCAACTAAGCCATGCCCACAGAACCGGTTGTTAAAAAAAATTGAATCCCACCCCTGAGTCCGATCCATGGTATTCAGCTTTGTTCGGGTATTTTCCCACGTCATTATAGTTGTGCTTTTAAAGTTGTAGCAACATTTCGGCAGAATTTCATCTGCCATTGATATCAATACAGAAGCCTGATGATGGCAGATGAGATTCTGCCGAAACGTTGCTACAACTTTAAAAGCACAACTATAATGATGTGGGAAAATACCCAAACAAAGCTGAATACTATATATATATATATATATATGTGTGTGTGTGTGTGTGTGTGTGTGTGTGTGTGTGTGTGTGTATCCTCTTTTTTCTTTCTTTGTGCTTCACTTTTTCTTGCTACATTTTGTCTTGTTTTCCCTGTCTTCTTTGTACAAAAGCAATAAATTAAAAAGAAAAAAATCATTTTGTGTTAACAAGAATATTGAATTCAGAAAATGCTACATGTCATCCCTTTCAGACAGAATGATCAACAAAAGGTACAGAAGGGAGTTCAGGAATGCTGATTATTATTATAGGGTAGAATAACATTTGTCTGCAATGTTGTCTGAATGCATCTATTCCATTAAGAGGAGGTAAGCATCCTGTCTCTCCTGGAGGAAAAAAGATGGCAAGAACTCTGGAGGATAAGATGCAGGTGCATTAGCCATATATTGATTGAAAGAGAGACCTCCCAATAGAGGAACCAATGTGTTTTAGGCAAATTCTGCAGGAAGTAATAATTCAGTTTTCTTGGGGGTAAGAAACTTGGCAGTACAAATATCATTTGAAAAAGGTATTCATTTTTTCCAATTATTCATTAAGATTCCAGATGATAAAGGGATGACAAATGACATTGAATGTCCAGTCAATAGAAAAAGGCTTTCAAAATTTGGATGTAAATTGAGAATTTTTATCTAAAATCAAATGATTGATTAAGTACTTGGATTAAAAATGAAAATCTTATGCAGTCCCTTGAGCTGACAGTAGTTGCTTGCAAGGAACAAAATATACCATCTTGGTAAACCAATCTGCTATGATTGAAATTGTTGTGAATGCTCCAACACTGGGGCATTTCAAGAAGAGATTGGACAATCATTTGTCTGAAATAGTATAGGGTTTCCTGCCTGAGCAGAGGGTTGGACTAGAAGACCTCCAAAGTCCCTTCCAACACTGCTATTTTATTCTATTCTAAATAATTTGGTTAACTTGTGCAGTTGCAAGATCAATAATAACATCTACAGGAACTCTGTCCTACATTCCAGGAAGGTAGGGGAATAGCTGGAGCAAACCGACTGAGCCACTCATAATAGTCTTAGTCTATCAAAAGACATGACAAAATGAAACATAGTATTTGATATTCATTCTTAGTCTGTAAGGCTACAGGTGAAACTCAAAAAATTAGAATATCGTGCAAAAGTTCATTTATTTCAGTAATGCAACTTAAAAGGTGAACCTAATATATGAGATAGACTCATTACATGCAAAGCAAGATAGTTCAAGCTGTGATTTGTCATAATTGAGATGATTATGGCTTACAGCTCATGAAAACTGCAAATCCACAATCTCAGAAAATTAGAATATTGTGAAAAGGTTCAATATTCTAGGCTCAAAGTGTCTCACTCCAATCAGCTAAGTAAGCCATAAAACCTGCAAAGGGTTCCTGAGCCTTTAAATGGTCTGTCCTTCTGGTTCGGTAGGAATCACAATCATGGGAAAGACTGCTGACCTGACAGTTGTGCAGAAAACCATCATTGACACCCTCCATAAGGAGGGAAAGCCTCAAAAGGTAATTGCAAAAGATGTTGGATGTTCCCAAAATGCTGTATCAAAGCACATTAATAGAAAGTTATGTGGAAGGGAAAAGTGTGGAAGAAAAAGGTGCATAAGCAGCAGGGATGACCGCAGCCTGGAGAGGATAGTCAGGAAAAGGCCATTCAAAAGTGTTGAGGACTTTCACAAGGAGTGGACTGAGGAAGGAGTCAAGAGCCACCACACAGAGACGGATACTGGACATGGGCTTCAAATGTCATATTCCTCTTGTCAAGCCGCTGCTGAACAACAAACAACGTCAGAAGCATCTGGGCTAAAGAAAAACAGACCTGTCCTCTTTTCTGATGAGAGCAACTTTTGCATCTCATTTGGAAACCAAGGACCCAGAGTCTGGAGGAAGAATGGAGAGGCACACACTGCAAGATACTTGAAAGTCCAGTGTGAAGTTTCCACAATCTGTGATTTGGTGAGCCATGTCATCTGCTGGTGTTTGTCCACTGTGCTTCATTAAGTCCAGGGTCAACGTAGCTGTCTACCAGGAGATTTTGGAGCACTTCATGCTTTCTTCCGCAGACAAGGTTTATGGGGATGCTGACTTCATTTTCCAGTAGGACTTGGCACCTGCCCACACTGCCAAAAGCACCAAAACCTGGTTCAATGACTGTGGGATTACTGTGCTTGATTGGCCAGCAAACTCGCCTGACCTGAACCCCATAGAGAATCTATGGGGCATTGCCAAGAGAAAGATGAGAGACATGAGACCAAACAATGCAGAAGAGCTGAAGGCTGCTATTGAAGCATCCTGGTCTTCCATAACACCTCAGCAGTGCCACAGGCTGATACCTTCCATGCCACGCTGCATTGAGGCAGTAATTGCTGCAAAAGGGGCCCAAACCAAGTACTGAGTACATATGCATTCATATACTTTTCAGAGGTCCGATATTGTTCTATGTACACTCCTTGTTTTATTGATTGCATATAATATTCTAATTTTCTGAGATTGTGGATTTGGGGTTTTCATGAGCTGTAAGCCATAATCATCTCAATTATGACAAATCATGGCTTGAACTATCTTGCTTTGCATGTAATGAGTCTATCTCATATATTAGTTTCACCTTTTAAGTTACATTACTGAAATAAATGAATTTTTGCACGATATTCTAATTTTTTGAGTTTCACCTATATATCGAAACCATCCATCCATACCCTTACATATGGGACTTGTTGTGGCAAGAAAATCCAATCCAACTGATCTGCTGACTGATTCTTTCCTCTTGGTTTTCTCGAATTTCAAGGAAAGTGAGAAGTAGCAAGCTTGTTCTGTGAACTAGGAACATGAAATATATAAAGATTGAAATAAGTGAACAATTGGTATCCATCTGATCTATTGTGGAATGAAGGTTTATGTCTTCTGCAAGTGCCCCAAAATCTTGTGAACTCTGCAACCTGTGCTGGATGGGTTGCTCCCTGCAAGAAATCTCTCCACTGCTACAATGCTGCTTTTATGGCTGGCAACGTTTCTTGAAAATATAGTTTGTTTGAACCAAGATAAAGAATCTGAAGTCGGCTGAAGCCTGCAGAAAAACACCTCCCAATGTTGAGGCTGAGGTATGTTTGCAAACAAATTGTCTATAAAAAAAGTCAAAGCTCAGAAAATACTGGACATCTTTCACATTTCTAGGATCCTGCCATGTGAAAATTGATTGTACTTTTGCTGAATCTCTTCATATTCCATTTGTGGAAATTATACAACCAAGTAATCCAATTGGGGAAGATCAGATACAGATTTATCCAGATTTATATTTATACAGATTTAGCAAACAGTTTGCAACTGAGAAATTGCTGATGTAAGTCGCATATAAGGATGTGTTTTCTGAAAAAAAAGCAGTATATCATTCAGGTACCTCACTATACCTTTATCTAAAATATTTATTAATTTGAAGACGACCATGGAGCAATTATCCAAACCAAAGGGCCTTATTATGTACTCATGCTTGCCATACTGGTTATCGAAAATGCTAAATAT